TCACTGTCATCACAATGGCTTTTGCGATCAAACCAACATCATCAAATGGGTAATTATCACCAAGAAAACGTGACTTCCATTTTTTTAGCATATTAACTCCGCTGTTCTTGTTCAGCATTTTTATTTTTCATTATACATGTCCTAATTGTCTTTGTTAATAATCTATATTTCTCAATTTTAGTGTCTGCGGTCACTGTTTTTAAGTATACAGCATGATTTGGTGTTTTACATTTTCTAGTCAAATAATTTCATTCTGGGCCTTTAAGGCCTTAGATATGGATGCGCCTTCTCTCCGGATCCTGGCAAAATGTGTGTTTTCAATGAAATTCTTTGCTGGAACTATGTCCAGGGAGTGCGTTGACGCCCAGTTTCTGTTTTCCTCACTAGAGAAGTCTTTAAAAAAAATACAAAATCATACGGTAATGTCTGATGCTGCCTTTAGTCATAGTGTGGATTCTGAGTGAAAGGTGGTTCCTCTAGCTTGGGTGCAGAGTCAGTTCCTGTTAGTGATGACAAACAAAAAAGGTTAAAGGTTACAGTGATAATGCTATTGGTCCAGCCTAGAAAACAGCCTTCCACAACGTCACCGTAAAAGAATGCAGAAAATGTTTGCTCAACCTCCCCGCTGTTCTACCGCTGGGGAGGCAAATTGACACAACTGTGGAGAAGAATATGTTTGGCTGGGAGAGGGTAGCCCTGCATGTGCCTCTTGTAAAATAAGCAAAGCCTTTATGAAGGAATACATTCTGTTCAGAGTCGAATAGTCAGTTCAGTTTTTTTCATTGCTTCTCAAAAGTGACAAACCTTTCACTCAGAATATGTTTTTGTGCTTAAAATAGAGCATACTGTATTTTGGTTGCACCAATAAGACTTAAGAAGTGGTGGGCGCGTTAGTGAACTTCGGTCATTTGCCAGCAACGGAGCTGGACCTGGAAGTCTGCCATCATCAGTTGTCATTATTTCAGGCCAGTTCGTCTGTCCCCCATGCCATCGTCATCGTTTTTGATGTGCTTCCTTCATCGCTGGTACAGCATTAAGATTTGAGAAAAGACGAGGAAGAATTTGGGAACTAAAGTAATAATACTTGCTGTTGTTTGCTTACCCTGTCTACTCCATATATTATTCGCTGCTGAAACCGAATTGCACTAATATAAGGTAGAAGCGGGCCACACGGTGGACTAGTGGTTAGCGTGTCCATCACACTATTCTGAGGTGAGAAAGTCGGCTACATCCTTCCACTATAGTTTGCATGTTCTCCACGGACTTGCATGGGTTTTCTCTTCGTGCTCTGGCTTTCTCTCCCACTCGAAGATTAACTGAAGCCTCAGTGTGAATTTGAGTACGAATGGTTGTTTGCCTTGATGTGCCCTGCCATTGACTGTCAGCCAGTCCAGAGTACACCCCGCCTTTATCCCAAAGCCGGCTGAGAGAGACTCTAGCTCACCCGTGACCCAAATGAGGCTATTCAGTATGGCAAATGGATAGATGGATTTTAGTCGTAAATTGTCATTTATGAATATTTTACTCAAAGCAACAACGTCAATGGAGGTTACTTAGAGTTTCTTATTGTGGGGTTATTATTGTGTTTTGTTTGATTATTACAGTATTTAAGGTTTAATGTAATAGTTGTTAGTGTCTATGTTTAGACAATAAAAGCCACATTTATGTGCCCAGAGTTTTGTCACGACAGCGTGCCTATCTGCCTGCCCTAACAGGACTTGCGGCAATCAATGGATGCAGCCATGCCTCTAAAAATAGTCCTCAAATTTGAATTTGGGTGAAATGCGTTGACATTGTCACATATTCAGAACCTATTATGCCATCTTGTGTGCAATAGGGTGCAACTGTAGTGTGGGAATGTCCCACTTGTTTGCTTTTTTTCATAAGATGTGTAATACTATGTAGTTCATATTTGATGCGCAAGTGCAATGCAGTATATTGGTGCAGGGTTCAATTCTGGCTTTGGCCTTTCTGTGTGGAGTTTGCATGTTCTCTTCGTGCCTGCGTGGGTTTTCTCCAGGTACTCCGGTTTCCTCCCTCATTACAAAAACATGCATGGCAGGCTGATTGAATACTGTACTCTAAATTGACCCTAGGTGTGACTATGAGCATAAATGATTGTTTGAACACCTTATACAGATTGAAGTGACCATTTCAACCAGACTCAGCATTTTGTTTTGGGGGGAAATCTTGTCATGTTGATATTTTAATACTGATTTGGCAAATTGGAGACACACAATAGAGTACCAGTAAATGGAAATATATCATGCACTAGTAATTTGTACCACTGCCTGATATTTAGGTATATAGGCATTTATTTATTTATTGGGGGTGGGGGGGGGCGCTAATTCATAAACCCATAAATTTCAAAGTTAATCGATAACAATGAGATATGTTAAAAGGTAATTTAAGGAGGGCTTCTGTGGATTTTGTGTTCAGTACCATTTAACACCAGGTGGATATGGTGGTGGAAGTGAGCAGGCACTGATGACACTGCTTTTAACGAGTGTGTACACGTGTTTTCTATTGGACGATGAGCTGAAATGGAAACAGTTGATTCATCCCTGTGGCAACGCCAGCAGAGCCAGCCTGATCATTGACCGCATGCACACATGCACACGTGTGCGCACACACACACACACACACACACACACACACACACACACACACACACACACACACACACACACACACAAACACACACACAAACACCCTAACAAAGCATTTGCACATACAGTGTGCCACTAACACAAGTGAAATGCATATTAGCTAATTATAGGCTATTTGCCTTTTTGCATCAACGTAACACCAAACACAAAGAAAAGCAGATTTGGATGCAGACAGAATCTCTGGTATATAAGTAAAAAGAATCCGTGTTCATGATCTTGCCATTAGATTTGCAATTTGGGAATTAAATGTCATCTGCCAGAAAGAAAACACAGAGCACTGTATTTTATTGTATTTTATTTTTTGTGCAACTGCTGGTTAGTTAGCAGGCTTTTGGCTGGTTCATGGCAGATGATGAACAAACACGTGGTGCCATTGTGATTCTATGTGGTGGACATTTCTATTTATTCCATTGTGACTCGAATGATTTGAATTAATTACCGTCTCACACATTTATGTAGATCCAGAGAGTCATGTTCCACTGCAGACAAAAAAAAGGCCAGTAGCTGTTTTAGAGAGCATAATATGCTTCCTGACTACTGTTTAGGTGCCCTTGAGCAAGCCCCTGCACCCCCACCTCCGCTTCCCCAAGAACCACACTCACTTGCCCTTGGAATCTGATAGCAGGGACATCGAGAGTCCAGAAATAACTCTTCTGTAATTGACTACATGTTTTGCTTCGTATCACGCAGTTTGTCCCCTCACAGGCGAAAGCTAACTGGCACACTGCTGCCTTCGTCTCTCAATAACAGAAAATTGTGTTTTTCCTGTCTTTCTTCAGCCGCCACTCCTCGCCCTGCTCCTCCCATGTAATTATCATTATCAGGGAGGGGTTCATGTGTTTGTGAACAAGAGAAACAATTTCTGGAAATTGGTCAGCCCTTGTAAATGTCCCGTTGTAGAGAATAGTAGTGGCAGCACCACACTTCTCTCATGCTATGGCTCCCCCCGTAAACTACTGTACCGTACGGAAATTGTAGCGGCCATCTTTTCTTCTTGAAAGTCTCTCGGGAGAAAATGACAGGACCTTCTGCACTGACCCTTGCATCTGGAGGTGTAGTATTTTGTTCTCATTTCGTCTGACTTCTTTCATTCTGTGACATTCTCAATCCGTGCCGACAACTATAACAGAGGCACTTGCTCTCAGGAAGCTGACGCTGTAATAGGTTTAGCTCGTAGAAGGCATTTCTGTTCCCTTTCCTTCTTTGGGTGATGTCAGTAAAAAAAAGGAATCCCCGCCACCTCCTCATTTAAAAAAAAAAAAAAAAGAAACTGAAATAGGCTGTATATACAGTACTTGCTTCTTGTATTGATAACATGTTCTTTTGTGTCTTCATGAATATACAGTGTACAGTCTGGGATTTTCATTTAATTTACTTATGCATTCATTTTTACAAGTTTAAGGAGGGATGTTTGAAGTTAGAGTACTTCAGTAGTGAACATAGTTTATTCCAGCTCCATATCATCAGAGACTTGAAAAAAGATCAAGTGGAGGAGGATAGACTCAGACATCAGCAGAATAACCAGACTGAAATCCATTAGTAGCCAGTGGCATGTGGAAAGCAGCTTTTAAATAATTTGTGGGAATGACAAGGTTATGCAGTTTAACCAACCAGGTCACCTCATGTTCTTTTGTTTGAATCAATTCTGAAGTGAAATTTTGTAGAGATGGCACCGAAACGCTAACCATGGCCGCATCCTGTACACTAAAGCTGTTTTGCCATTTTCCAGAGGCAGCCTGGCTCCGCACTGTGTGGTCACTTTTCCATGACACTTTTTCAGAGCCATGTGGTCACAGTGCAACCACTTTTGAGGACCTTCTCCAAAGTGGTGGAGGTTCTCAAAAAATACTAAAACATGAAGCAGTTGGACATAGGTATTCAAAGGTTTTTAGGTCAAATTAATTTCAACGTTTACAGTTGGTGTAAGTTCATTTTAGGTTGCAAATAAATGATGATTTTAGGTGCAGCCTAAATTTTCACCTGGCATGTTTTTGTGTGTCATGTATGAGTACATGACAATTTGAAGGTTCATGTTTATGGCCAAATTTTAATAATACTCTGTGATTCGTCGTGTCACAAATTGGAATGATTTGCACTGCGGTATGACCCGACACAGGAATTGGAGGGGGGGAACGGGACAAAAATCCAAAGGAGAAAGTGAAACAGGAATAATCCCAACACACTCTGTACATGCTTTTGAAATCCACTTTGAGGAAGAGCTGTACAGCTGCTGTTGCTTGTTCTTCCCTGTTGTTCCGTGTACCTCGGCCCTCACATTTCTTCACCTTCGCGCCATGTTGCACCTCTTCAACTATGTCATCCTTCTTCCAGAATCAATCTATCGTCGAGGAGCCAGACGATGGAGGAAACTCTACCAGGTCAAAGGGCACCTCTTCCAGGCCAAGCGCTTTAACAAGGCAAGTTGCTGTCACACGCGTGCAGCACTTTGTTGACTGCTCTTTTGGTTTACGGTCAATGGTAATGCTGTCACCACAGGGGTAGCACTGGTTTTGAATTATAGTACGCAGGTAATCAAATCACTACTCTTGCAATGCTACTGTGTCTGAAAACTTATGCATATTTCAAGGTGTCCTACTTTGAGTGTGTGTCTCTGAGCTCCACGTTTGTATCTGAAAAACGTTTTCTCTCCTCATAATGTCATTTGAAGTCTGCTGTCTGATAGATGACCTAATACACTGTGATGTAATCATATTTGTGCCAAGATGTTATTGGACAGCACTCAAAAGACGTTTTGCTGTAATTCCATAAAGGAAGGAGAGCCGTCTTTGCCTTCATGTCCTGTATATTTGTCCTTGCCTTCAACAAAAGACATACAGTGGAACCAATGATTAACGACCTAATTGGGGGGATAGGGACCGTCTGTTACAGGCAATAGTCTGTTAAAATGAATTACTTTTTTTTCTTGAGCTTAACCCATCCAATACGGTACAATATTATTGTAAATAAGTATTTAAAAAAGCTAGAAACTGTTTTAAAAGTTTTATATTTATCCAAACTTAGCTTGCTTTGAGAGCAGTGGTGTGCAGCTGGTCGCGTTCATGTGAAACGATGTTAGCGCACTTGCTTTTTCCACCTCTGTTACAATGTGATGTTATAGACAAGAGCTTGACAAAAAACATTTAAAATTGACCAAAAATAGTATATTTGAGAGATGTATACACACGCTGGCTCCATGCAACTACAGCCGTAGGTAGATAGAAAGCGCCCCGATGCTAAGCTAATGTCCATGCTTTCCATTGCCTTTTAGTACCAAGAAAAAGCAACTATTTTACCTACATTTTGTCATTTTCTCACAAAAAAACATTTGTATGTTGTTTTTCTTGAGTCAATCGGTCACTCACTGTCAATATTGGTTGGGTGTAGAGAGCGTTCGGCTTTGTTTGTAACTCAGTATTTGTGTTCTCACCATACTTGAGATCTTTGTAAATGATCCAAATTGTTATCTTCTTAATTGTTGATTCATTTATGTGTCTTTTAAAATTACAGCTCTCTGTAGGTAACACAAATACTGAACTTAATAATAGAGCTTTGATTAATTTGCTTTCTCGATGTCTGATTTTTATACATGCTAGTTTTGTCAGCTCTGTGAGACTGAACACAAAGAGTTCTATTTGTATTTAATTAATTAGCATTTCCCCACTTGGTAATTATATATACTGGCATAATGAGTAGACAAGTAAAATGTTTGGCGGTATTATTGTCCTTTTGTTGTTGATTGGAAGACTAATCTGTCGCTGTATGTATTGTTGTGTGTGTGTGTGTGTGTGCGTGTGTGTGTGTGTGTGCGTGTGTGTGTTTTTTTTTTTTATAGCCTACTGTGGCCTCTGCAGTGAAAGGATATGGGGGCTTGGCGGGCAAGGCTACAAGTGTATCAACTGCAAACTGCTGGTCCATAAGCGCTGCCACAGACTCATCCGTCAGACCTGCCAAAGGCTTATGGTGAGTCAGTCCCTTGTTAGTTGCGGATTTGGTCACAACGACTGTACAAATCATGAAGCATTCAGTTTGTTGCATAACTTCTTGCAGTGGTCATTTTATTTAATGTATTTATCCTGTACTAGGGGCATACTGAAAGCAAATAAGCCATCGATCCATCCATCCCTTTTCTGTACTGCTCATCCTCACCAGGGTTGTGCGTGAGCTCGAGCCTCCCATCTGATTCTGGGCGAGAGGCGGGGTAACACCCAGAATGGGCCAGCAGCCAATCTGAGGGCGCGTAATGTAGTATTCGATTATATGTAGCAGCATTAAGTTTACGACTGTCAGGCAGCGATATAATATACATCCACTAAATGGATTGCAATAAATCTCTTGTTGGATCACCACCCGCACCCTTCCATCCCACAATCTCATCAGGCATGTTTTTAGAAATAGCCAATGATATATCCTGATGAATATATGTATCCCAAAGGAGACAGCAGCTGCTGGTCTCAGAATCTTTTGTTTAGATTAGTGCAGGAATTTGCACATTCACTCTTTAAAATTTAAACTAATTTCATTTTTTTCCAGTGAAATCCTAACATTCCATTCGACCATCTTCATTTTATATAAAAAGGCATAAAATGCATTGAACTTTTTCACGGTTATGCTCATGATTCATTCTTCAAAACATGACCGTAATCAATATGGATGACATATTGGCAGGTGAAACTGTTCGAACATCTTCAAAAAAGCTTTGCACACCTTCCACTCTATTTCCCAGTTGTGCCTTACATAATATTATCCTTGTTTTTTCATGTGACGTAGTGATATCCACGAGCTTCGTTGTTGCATTCAGAAATTTCCCAGTTGTAGAATTTACCTAATTTGTGACAGACATCCTGTTCCCAGTGCTTCCAGACCGATGCTGATTTCAAATTGAACATTTGAAGAAAATCTTGACAAGGATATCAATGTCACTTTTTACTGTCATACTAAACTCTTGATCACTGCTTGATGTATTTTTTCTTCTCTCTCAGATAAGTAACTTTTTAAGTGATTTGTGATACGTCTAAGCTGCTGCACACTGTTCTGAGCACCTCTTTGAATGCAAAACTTCTTTTTTTCTTTCCTCATTGCCTTTGCCTCTACAACATGCTTTTCTGTACATTTATACACAGGCAGTATAAAAACCATGACGCAATGTTTATACACACATTTGAAGGACACTGTTAGGCTATATTTAGTCCAAAATACTCATTTGAAGGACACTGTTAGGCTATATTTAGTCCAAGTTTTTCATTGTTTTGTTCAGGATCCAGCTATGCCATCTCAAGAGCCCCCTTCAGATGCAAAGAGTGAAGATGTGGACCTTCCACTAGATGACACAGAGGACAGAGGTGGAAGTAAGAAGTTTGAAAATCAAACTTAACTACTGTCATTACGTTAGTATTGTTTTCAAAGGGGCAGATGGGGTAGTTTCATTTAAAATAATGGAAATAGAGTGTAGTGATTGACATTGCGGTACCACACCGGGATTTAAAATGAAGATTCAGGCCATCGTGAACTAATATAGTCGTCTTTTTGTGGGGCTCTTATTATGAGAGCCCCTGTAAGTTGACCTAGTTCAGTCTATAATGTCTTCTGGACTCCATCTCCCTCTGCTGGGCCGAAAACAGATTTTTTTTTTTTATTAATACATTTCAGTGTACATTTGGGCCTCAGTTTGTATGCTACCAACATATGAGGTTACGAATGATGCGCAATGGCATCAGAATACATTGTCATGCTGCACAAGAGGGCACACTTGCTTAATGACGCACTTACTGTTTTTCATTTGATTGTTTTACTATAAGAGTTTTTCAAACACAAATTTACACCGCCATAGTCGTAAACTAAGGACTCCCTGTAACCATTGTGCAACCATTTTCACACATAACCATCTGCAAAACGTATTATTCATCTGTGTCTTTTGCATTGCAGGATTATATTTACCACACAACTGTACAGAGGACAAAATAGAAGAGACAGATGTAGAGGTAAGGAATGTGCTCTGATATATTTTGGACAGACCCTCCCTCTAAAAGTGTTGTAACAGTCAAGTCAATTCCTGTATTTTTTTCTGCGGACTATGGAGATGTGAGGTTGATTTGAGAAAATGAATAGACATAATATTTTCAAAGCTCAGCTGTTATTTTCAGGTATTTGTGGAAATAGAACATCAGCTTTTATTGTTAGAAGTGCATAAATATACACAAAAGGTGTCCTCTGCATTTAACCTTTCACAGTAGTGAAAACATCCCAAAAAACAAAACAAAACAAAACACCGTTTGTTGTAATCAACAGATTTAAATTTTATAGAGGGTGCATTTTACCTGCTAAGAGAAGGCAAACAACTAACTGAGTGGCAGATTTCGAGTTGTCTTAGATCCAAATGTTCCTGTGAATAAAAGTGGAACTGTTGCTCTCGTCTGAATAATCCTTTAATGTTTCAGTTGCCAGCAAAAAAAAAAAAAGGAACTGGTCCCACCGATGGAATACATTTGCATGGGAGTTGATGCATCATTTCATTTACAACAACCGTAGTATCTGTTTTAACACATGTAACCTGGGTTTGGGTGTTTGTCTACGCCTACGGCAAAGGCAAGAAATGCAAATCAAAACTACTTAAAGTACTGTACATTGAAAGTATGCATTTGTCCCCTCTTCTTCACTCAAGGATATTAAATCAGTGGTGGATGGAATCGATGGTATCAAGCTGTCTCAAGGTCTTGTTCTGGGGTTGGGAGACTTCGAATTGATCCGAGTTATTGGGCGGGGCAGTTATGCCAAGGTGCTGCTGGTCCGCTTAAAGAAGAATGATGAGGTTTATGCCATGAAGGTGGTGAAGAAGGAGCTGGTTCATGACGATGAGGTGAGACCATTTAACAGAATCCTTTTATTTGATCACAAGTTTTACTACCTCTGTCTTCTCACCAGCCTAGCTCCAACAGTGATTGGTTTGGAAAAGAGGATCGATATTTGTTTTTCTTTCCTCTATTCCTGTTTTGTTGTACTGAATGCAATGAAATGAGTACATATCATTGCCCTGAGTGGTTACACGCTCATGCAGCCTTGTATGAGTACACGACAGACATAATTAAAAAAATTTGGCATAGTTGTAAAATGAAGATTTCAACTAACATCTTGATCAGTGAGTTGCATTACAATAATAAAGTTTTAGGGAAAATATTTAAATGAACAATTATGTATTACTACTTAATGGCAAGAATTGGTTTGGGATTGCTCATATTGGCCACACTGATGTAGTATGTTTATAAATCCATTAGATGGCGGTGTAGGCCAACTAAGGAGTCCTTCAGACTTGGAGAAAGAAACATTGATCACATTAGATTTGAATCAAACATCCCTTTAGTGAAAATGTGCACTTCAACAATCAATCAAATAGCTGGCAGCATTTTGCAGAATCAACAGTCGGCTAATAAAAGACCCTAGGGTAATAAAATGCTGATATGCCGCAATATACAATGTAACTTAAAATACAAACCCCAATTCCAGTGAAGTTGTTGTGTAAATCATACAATGATTTGCAAATTATTTTTGTATTTTGCCCCTCATCATGTAAATGTGATACATATTTTAAATCGTTGACAGATCTGGACTACTGGCAGAGCAATCTAGTACCAGTTGTCTATTTTTAATGAGCTTGGGCCAAGGGAAGGCAGCGGTGTTTCTTGGTTCTGTTTATATATGGGTTTTGCTTTACATGGTAGAGTTTTAACTTGCAATTTTAGATGTACAGACAAACTGTGCTGACCATGGTTTTCTGAAGCGTTTCGGAGCCCACATGGCAATGTCTTTCATTCAGTGATTCCAGTTTTTAATAGAGTGCCACCTGAGGGATCGAAGCTCACGGACATTCAGTGTTGGTTTTCGGCCTTGCCGCTTACGAGCAGATTTCATGATAAAATCTGCAAATTCCTTGGAATTGTATCCTGAGAAACAATCTTAAAGAGTTGGAGTATTTGTTCACAAAGTGTTAAACCTTGCTCCATCCTGCTGGGGAACAACTGAGCCTTTCGGAGATGCTCCTTTTATACCCAATTATGGGGTGACCTGCTTCCAATACACCTGTTCAGCTATGGAATGTTCCACACAGGTGTTTTTTGAGCATTCCTCAATTTTGTTGCCTCTGTCCCTACTTTTTGGAATGTGTACCAGTCCTCAAATTGAAAATGAGTCAATATTTGCAAAAAAAAAAAACAAACAAACAAAAAAAATCAAACCAAAACTGTGTTTTTTAATTTACATATTACACATTATGCCAACTTCATTGGAATTGGGATTTGTTTTTTAAATGTTGACAATAATACGGGAAAAAATGTTCAGTGTACTAGATTTTGTTTTCTGACACACATTGAACAATCTAATGCTAATTACATTTGACAACCAAGACCGCTACAGTTTTTCTTTTCCCAATTAAAATCAATTCTACAATATGTCTGCCCCTTGGCTTGATTGGACATCTTGTTTTTATTTATTCATGGCCCTATACACACACATTAGTTGAATTATTAATCTCTGCAGCCCTGTAATGCCTGACATCAAAGTGGATTTGTAACCAGCTTTGCACAAAATTGACAACAACGTACTAAAGAAGACAAAATTACCAATGGGGGATACGTTTGCACGGCGTAATGAGCATAATTATAAATTCCTCAAGTACTTTGGAATTGACCAGGAATTTGGGATCACAGGCACAACATAACATTTATGGTCTCTGTTGGTGTTACAGCATTGGTAAATTTCAGAGACGCTGGGTTGTAGCTCATAAAATATTAACCTCATCAGTTGAGTGACAATTTAAGAAGAAACATCAACTTACCATGCTGGAGGCTAAACACACACTACTGTGTAAAACATAAAACATAAAGAAATGAATATGGCACTGCTGAATACACAATAATTTAAGTGTATTTATTGCACTTCAGTGTTGATATTTTATCACCACAATTTATAGGGAAATCTTTAATTGGATCAGTGACATGCTTTTAAGTCATGCTAAAACAAAAATGAGGCGGAATGTAAAAAATAAACTGTTTCAAGGTAAGCCTAAAACCTTGAACTGTACAAGTTTCTTTTATGTAGAATGTTAACATACTTGACTGTGTTGAAAATAATTAACCACCATTAATATAAAGACTTTAAATGATTCAATAGTCAACCTCTGTATGGTGAAGGCACAGTCATACTTCATTGAATGTCAGTAACTAAAGGTGTAAAATTATTATTATTATTTTTTTGTTAAATTCTGTATTGCACAAAATTTATGAGGTTTCACAGTACCAGTTATAGTAATCCAGTTCTATTTTAACACAGGTTCAGCTGCATATTGACAAAACGTCAGTTTGAATGCATATTCAATGCACATCTCCATCATCCTTTAGCGATGACTCATTTACCACTGAGGAACTGTATTGAACTTTCATTCGTAATCTCTCCAGGATATTGACTGGGTGCAGACAGAGAAGCATGTGTTTGAGCAAGCCTCCACAAATCCATTCTTAGTGGGCCTCCACTCCTGTTTCCAGACAGAAAGTCGGTAAGAACCTATTATGGACTTATCTTAATTAAAATAGCTTTGTTTTTGCACTTAAAAGTGTCACCTTGAGGATAATACTTATTTTCCTTTTTTTTTGTATGATACACCAAACACACCGATAATAGATATCTGACAACAAATGGCCTGGTCATAGGTGGTAGGCCTGGTACCGCTATGAATGCATTTGGAATATTAAAAAAATATATCAATCCAATGACGTGATAATCAATGTCTATCTGAAGAACTACAGTGGACATTTCAAGTTAAAATTCAATTTGAATCAAGTCATTAGTTGATCAAATGCATGCTTGTTTTTCATAGTGATGACATTATAAGCAAGGACAAGGCTGGAGGTCAAGTGCTATACCTTTTATTAAAAAAATACATTGCTGCCATTCTTTCCACTGCCTTTCTCCAAATAACTTTCCCTTTCATTTTCTAGGTTATTTCTTGTGATTGAATATGTGAATGGTGGGGACTTGATGTTTCATATGCAACGACAAAGAAAGCTCCCTGAAGAACATGCAAGGTAAGGAATAAGATTTTGAGACATGAGTGTGCTTCATCCAGCTTTAGTAGTTCTTAGAATCAGGGTTGAATGTGTTCTTTCCCTGTCTGGTACCAACTGTTGCCTGCACCATGGTTTATTACCCACCCCTGGATTACACTACATTCTTGTGATGATACAATTAAAAAATATCAGTCAAGCATTTTCACATTGGTGTAAAAAAGTATGGGGTTAAAAAAAAAAAAATCTTTTCTGTGGTGGGTAATTGACAACAGTTGCTGTTTGTGTGTAGTCGCAGTTCATCTGTATTTAAAATGCACATTCAATTTGTCATATATTGTTGTAAATGTTGCGAATGAGAGTTCGGCTCCTCTCACAACCGGCAGCAGAGACTCGTGTAGGCGTTGCTGCTGGCGCAGATGATTGCAGCTCTTTGGTATGCCCCCCATTAAATTTATTTGCACTGTCTTTGCACTCTGACTCATTTTAAATCGTCCTCAACAGTGTGCTTCTTTTAAGTGCTTCTTACAAACACATGCTCCGTATCGTTCCCGAGCAGTTCCTCACGGACACTGACACCACCCAAATATATAATTTATTTTTACAGCTCTGAAAAACATAATGAACCCCCATTATTCATGCTTCTTTCTACTTGTGGGGCACTTCAACTATGCCCCTGATAAATGCTGGATCAAAGGCTTGGTAATATAGAGAGGCACTGTTGAGCCCCTATCGGACCCTACAATCTGTATTCTGGAGACAGTGGCTGTACATATGCAAAGTAGCATGCTAATGACTCGTAATGATTGTACATATTCATGAGATGCGCTCCTGACGCATTCCCCGCGCCGTGGGGATGGCGGTCTGTGGGCGATGGATGGTGCTGCTCAGAGCACGCTACTTCTATCAGTCTGGATGCCAGTACTGAAGCAAATGTGTACAGTCAAGGCTGTCACAGTGAAATTGTGGGGGAGCAGTGTGGGATTTGCCAGTGCGCTGTCAAACGATCTTTTCCTCAGTGTTTGACATTGAGGGATTTGTAGCACGCACTCAGACAGAAGGCCCATCAATCTTAATGGAAGCTTATCTCTCCGTGACAGGTCACGAGCTACCCGCATCTCACGATTCGCTCTAAACACAAGGATGTGTTAATCATGATGCTTATCGTTCATACTGTAGAGTTATATGGCCCACTTTTAAATAGTTCCTAGACATGCCTAGCGGCTAATTGCCTATATTACATTTAAGTAATTAATTTACAAATACGATAATGAAGCAGTTAACCCAAATGCAAAATATACAGTATATATAACATCATCAATGCTGCTTAACCTGTCATCACTCCTCGTTTTTTGTTTTGTTTTGTTTTAGCACGGCAATGCTGCCATCTCAACTACCATGACCAAGAGAAAAAAATTACAGCTTTGCAACACAAATGGAAAAAGCTAAAAGAACACTAAATTGTATGGCTTGATGACATTTCCCGAGCACTAGACACTCCTTCCCATGCTGTGCTTTCCTCTTAACAATCCTGCCAGGTCATGTTTTGGATCATCGTTGGCCATCAGTTTTGTGGCAATCATTCAGTGTCCAATTATCTGTTTTTTCTTGCCCGAAATTAGATTCCCTCTTTTTGAAGAAACCCCAAATTCTCTGATGTCTTCTCATAATATAATGGAGAAACTATCAGATGACAATTTATTTTTGTAGTCATGATATAAAACTTGTTAAGTGTGCAAAATCTTTGCACAAATTAATAGCAAGCAGAGCTGACTATGGGTTTAGAAGGGACACGGCAAGATTTTCATACCATGAATCTAACAATGATTTTGGTTCCGTTAGCAATACTGATGAATATAAACCTGATAGCATCATATTTTTAGTTTTCAATTGCTGCTGGTTTCACTGGCACATAATATGCATCATAGTAAAAGTGTCATACGGGAATGATATGATGCATGTGGTTGACCTGATATGCGAAAAAAAAAACAAATTGGTCCAACTTAAAAAAAAAACAAAAAACAGATGTCACCTTTCCATTAGCCCTCTACAGTACTGCGTAGAGCTGGGCGCTGTGTACAAAATTTCATATCTCAATATTCATGCCAGTTATCTTTAACGATGCGATACCGATATTACTATGGGTTCATGTATTTTTAGGTATTTTTATTGACTTTGTTTTGATCCACAAAAATATAATGTCAGTCAAGGCACACACAGGTTGCTTACAGAAACAGGATGTTGGCGATCCTTGAATGGACCAGTGAGCTGAGCACCACTATTTCATCCATTGGTACATATATATAATTATAAATATGGTTAAGTATTGTTGTCAGATACAATATACTGTATGTCTACTGCATACTGTATTTTTATTGCTTGATGGCACACAGCTGCGTCTCGCTTTGCTTATGACACAAAAAGTCCACATGACTGATGACGTCTTAATTTTTGATATTGTATATCTTCATTGCTCAGATCTAGATGTCAATATGATAATGATATATCTCCCAGCCCTACGCTTACAATTAAATACAGTTTTATCATCAGATTTGCTGGATACTTGGTTAGGTTAGAACCTGGATTGGCCAATGAGATACCAGGGCTGACATGTGAACTGCACGCAGTAGAGCACCAGCTCTAGAGAAATCTCCTAATGCAGAATATAAAAATAGAGAAATTCTGTTTTGGTATGGCAAAGCCACAGATGAAATCCAAATGTATTGGGTTTTTTTTTTTTGTTTTGTTTGTTATGGAGGTAACAAAAAACATGCGCTTCAAATGCCTAGGGTAACTGAAAAGAAAAACAATGATTTATAGCAGCATCATATACAGTGGTGTCAATTACACGGCAGATTGTATAGGCCATTGGAGATTCCATTAAAACAAACCACAGCATAGTGGTCATATCTAAAGAAAAAAAATACCTTCTTATTATTCATAGTGGGTTGCACACTGGGTTGAGCAATAGCTGGTGCTGAAAAAAAACATAACTCATCAATATCATCTAGTAGTGAGTGTGGTTGATAATTTTTTTTTTATTATTTAATTTTAAACAACATTCACCAATCTCTGCATTTTTAAAACATCCTAAAACAGATTTTATGCTGCTGAAATCTGCATTGCTCTAAACTTCCTGCACGAGAAAGGCATCATTTACCGAGACTTGAAGCTGGACAATGTTCTTTTGGACCATGACGGACACATTAAGCTCACAGACTATGGCATGTGTAAGGTAAGCGACACTGCCATTTTCCACAGTTGATGGCTGCAGTTTACAAATTAAGGTAGTCAATCATTATTGACTCGACTGGTTTCCTTTTTTTCTCAGTTCATATTCCATTTATTTCATTTGTTCCTGTTTTTATTTCTTCTTCAGGAGGGGATCAGACCAGGTGACACAACCAGTACATTCTGCGGAACACCAAACTACATTGCACCAGAAATCCTCAGAGGAGAAGATTATGGTAAGAGAGAGGTCATTGTTTCATTATCAGGTTATGTCGCATCTGACAAATCACTTTGTATTTTTTTTTCCACCCAAATTAAGATGATGTAAAACACCTTATTAATTAGTGCTCGATTTTGAATTTATAACCAAATATGCTTTGCTTACTCAGGCTTCAGTGTAGACTGGTGGGCCCTAGGGGTACTAATGTTTGAGATGATGGCTGGGAGGTCCCCGTTTGACATCATCACCGACAATCCTGACATGAACACTGAGGAATACCTCTTTCAAGGTGAGTTTGGGGCAACTGAACCATAGCTAAGGCTTGCAGCTTCACCACTATTTGAAATCGATTGATATCGCATTGCGCCAAGTACCAGTACCAATACCATACTGACATTTTTAGCTTTACAAATACAGAGACACAGACAGACTGCAAACTCTCGCGCTTTTTCAGAAATTAAACACCTCATGAAGAAAAAAGACACACGCACTTTTGTCTGGACTTCTTTTGGCTATGTTCCAGACACACAGGGTACGCCAAACTGACACGGGGAGAAGGTCTGTCTGCCAAGTCGTGTTCTACAGCTACCTGATAAAAGCTCAATGATGACCAGACCGGTATGCTGAATTCTGTCACAAATTCAAAGAGCTACAGCTTAGTTTGTGACACATTTCAAACACTTCCCTTCAGGATAGAATGGCATCAGAAGCCAACTGCAACATATGGACAAATGTGGTGATACACTGACCTGATGGGCTTTATTGACTGATTGCTTAACACTTCAATTTAATGCTCATTAGCCAGCATTCCATATGCACAAAAACCTACGGATGTGACTCTTGAAGACAGAGGGCTTCTCATGAGGCTTTGCACTCCTCACACACATTGCTATTCAAACATTCCTGTGACCTTCACGCGTGACAATATGCGATGATTCATTCTCACTCCAGTCTGAAAGTTCTGATTCGGCATTGGTTTTTATCTCATTTTGAATCAGCACCGATTTGTGCACAGCCTTAGTGACAACACTAGACCGACAGATGAACAAATTACAACCCAGTGTTGCGTTAGTGGTTTGCACACATTTATTTTAACACTTGTACGTAATCAGTTGCTGTTTCCCTGCTAGCAAAGATCTAAGGATGCTTCTCCCAACAATATTTACTTAGGTTCAGGGGCTGTTAGTTATATGAGATACTTGGAGACAAAGTATGCTCAAAGCGATGTTTCTGGCTGTTTTTTTGCCATAAAAAACAAACGACAAACAAACAAAAAAAAAAAGTACTTAGGTTAATTTATGCCTTTGTTGCATAACTGATATTTAGTTTGAGTGTGGAAGAAACAGATTTCATGTAATGGAATAAAAATGAGCTCTGAGCTGCAAAGGATTTATGTCTGTGCCAATGCAGGCTTAAATGGTTCTGGCATGGTTCATTAAAATGCAGGAATCACGAAATGGGTTAATTTTATTTCCCTCCAATGTTAATTAGCTTTAGTTCACTGATGTTTCTCACACCGAAGTCGGCCTTTATATGACATCACTTGACACCATTGAGTTTTCTTATTTTCTCATTTACCTACACAGTCTTACATCGACAGCCTGATTCTAGGAAACCAGATGTATATATTGTGACATTTTTCACATCAATTTCCTGTTACCAATAATACAGTGCAACCACTACAGTACTCCATTTTGGTTTGCTGTTTGCCCATTGGATTGTTTGAAATTAGAATAAATTTCCCCCAAAATAGAGATAATCGATTTTTAGACTCAAAATAATTGTCCACTTAAAATATGCCTTTACATTAATAATCTTGAAAGTAATGTTTTTAAGTGCCTATGTAATTGAAAATAAGTTGTGTACTTATGACTCACCTATAACTTTGATGAGGATGTGCATGAGTCTTTTGTTCCTATTACTCCAGACTTCTATTATTGAGCTTTTTTGTAGCGAGTAAGCCAGAACAGTGACACATCTTGTTCGAGAGTCCTATCACATTTCTCGTCTTTGCCATTACTGTAACCCTTCTGCTTCTTTACATTCCTTTTAATTCATTCTTTATTTTCACACTTCACAAACCAGGTATCTTAAGTTTTTGATATTCTTGCCAGCCAAATGCAGCACAGATAGAGATAAACAACCATTCACACTCATACTCACACGTGTGGACAAATGAGTATATACTACATAACGTGCATGTTTTTGGAATGTGAGAGGAAGCCAGAATACCTGGCGAAAACTCCCTGCAAACTGCTGACAGGCACATTTTCAGAAATAGGCATTTACAAGAGAAATGCACTCCACACAACCCGAATAACCGTATACAGTAAACACAATTAAATTCTTCTATATAATTTCTCCTTTACCCATTATAATCTTTTTTTCCAACTGTAGTTAGGCACTAAGAAGAGAATTTACTGGATTTGCCTCTTTGATTTACTCTGGCCACCGTACCTCCATTGTTCCATCCAATAGGTGGTGGACCCTTTCTTCCAGCAAAGTGTTCTGATTAAAATGATTGATTTTGGATGATAACCACATGCATTGCACTGACTTGCATGGACAAAGCAATTCCGACCTTTAATGAAAGATTTATGAATGCAAGACGAACGACAGTACTACTTTCAAACCTATAATTAGGTCTTCTATTTTCTTATTTGTGTTTCCTCGAGCCATATGGTACCCTTACAGTTCACATCCTCCATCACCCCGCCCCCCCCAGCTTGTCAGAACAGAAATTCCTCCATAATGCAACAGCCTTGTTGATCCAATACAGTATGTCTGTGCTGTGACTGTCAGTAGCATAGAGTGGCACAGTATCTAGCATCTGCTACCAGTAGAGCAGTTTCCTAGTGGGTTTGCTTGTAGAACAGCAGGTTCCTGGATACATGCCTTCAAACGGATATCAAGTCGTTCCCTATAGGAGCTGCTCAGCCATATGCCACTGAGCTGAACCGTGAGCCAGGTCCTGCTTTGGGTATCGGTGCTGCATTTGCCAGCCTCAAAGCTTAGTCAGACAGACACCCAGACCCTGAAAAATGTTTGATTCATAAGGAAAAAAAACAACCCCACCATGCTAGTCATTTTAAGAGTCAACACATTTCACAAGCTGATACTGTGTTAAAGCAAAACACATTTTTTTCCCCAGCCACCGGCATATTTGACATTTCCTTGTTTCTGCATTCATTTGTTTGCGACATATCCTGCCTATGCGGCATTGACTCAAATCATGGAAAAACTGAATCTGAGCCAAGCTAATGTGCCAATGATCATCATTATGTGAAGTTCAATTTATTATTTTTTTGGGTTGCATCTGTTTCCGGATTGCATTTACAAGTGTCATACAGTCACCATAATTTTATATACAGAATAAAACATTGAACATAGCTAATGCACATTTTTAAAGAACATTTGGCCAAACATGGAACAGTAAGGGACAAGGATCAATTTCAAATAAACAAACCAACCAACAATATACGACATGCAAAACGAATGACGGGAGTTCGATAGAGTTGTGCTGAACCAGGGTTCTTCAATTAAAATTCGGTGGAGTCCGGTTGCAAGGGATTTCTTAGGGCAAAGATCCTCACATCAAAATCTTTCGACTCATACTTATTCTGCTTATCTTCACAACAGTCGCGGGTGTTCTGGAAACCTATCCCAGCGAGAGGCGGGGTTATATGCCCTGGACTGGTCAACAGCCAAGCAACCATTCAGACACATACACACCTCCCGAAAATGTTGTGTTTTCTATTCACATAACATGCATGTTTTCGGAATGTAGGAGGAAATGGAATTACTCAGAAAGAACCCATTCAGTCATGGGGAGAACATGCAAAGTCCACACTGCAGCGTCGGAGCCTGGATTTTAATCTACATCCTCTGAGCTGCGAGGCGGATGTGGCGCCATGTAGCTAACCAATCAAACATTTTAAAACAAATATCTAATGATAAATAATATTTCCTTTACATATTTGTGGTTTTGCAAATCTGATATTTCGTTATATCCCCCTGGTCCATAGATAAAACTATCTTTCTAAAGGAGGGCAAAAACACAGAAATACAAAGTGGTTTTTAAACGCACAACTAAGATCTTAAAACAGTTCACATTTAAAATCAAAGAACGCCAATAGCTTAAGCATCCACTAAACAGGCACAACCAGGTAGGCCAACATTTTAGAACTAACTGTATTTTGATGTCCGTAACTGAGGGAGAGCCTTTCGTTTTCCAGACCATTGTTGTTTTTATTCGTTTATCACTATTGTAATGCGGGGGCGTCAAAGCTGTGTGTGCACCATCAAAATGGAAAGAACCAGAATGGAGTCTTCCATGTCTCCTCCCTTCCTTGGACTCCCACGCAGCAGATATGGTGACCCACAGGCTGTTGGACTGTGAATCATCCAGCACCCCTCCTCACGATTGTCCTTTTCTTTCTCTTTCCCTCTCACCCTTCTTTTGTTGCTGTCCTCTTTGGCCAACAGTTATTCTTGAAAAGCCTATTCGCATCCCAAGGTCTTTGTCGGTGAAAGCAGCCAGCGTGCTCAAGGGTTTTTTGAACAAGGTGAGAATCCATTGCCAAAGCAGCCTTTCTTACACTCTCTCAAGACAGAATGTGTGGGGTCATGGGCAGGAAATTGGGCTGCCTCTTATGAGCAGCCAATGCACTGAAATTAAATGAACTATATAGGGAATAGGACACAATACAAATAGTATACAGACTGTCGATGCTCATATTAAAGAGCCTAACCGCTGACATAACAGTGACTGCTTTCTCAAAAACACATGATTTATTAACATTATATGGTATTTGTTAGCAGTTTCTTTGCTGACTCTCCAAGGTTCACATGAAAACCCCAAAAGAAGTCACGTTATGCAGCAGGTTATAAACTGTTCAGTTGAACTAGGAAAACAAAATCAATTTTCAGTAGATGGCACCTCACCTTCAGGCCACATGTCATAACACACTGTAAGTCTGAGCGAAATGAGAGTAGAGAAGGATATTCTGTGCGAGGGAGGTCTTTGTATTTGTAAGTGCAGACCGACTCCACAAAACAATTAACGCACATTCGTAAGCAAGAACTTTGCACTCGGTTATCTGAGTTGCCATTTGCACGCCCACACGCGCCATCCTGCTGACAGAAATACTCGCTCACAAATGCGCAGTGATGGGCACTTTACCCTATTTTGCCAATCCGTTCTCCGTCCACAAGCTGGGTACCCTTCCCACATCAACCCTCCGTCCTTGTTCATATAATAATCATCTTTTCATCCTCGTCCTTTTAAAACGCCTCAAAAATGACATCACTTTTCTTTATATTTCTTATGTTTTAGTGATAAGCAACTCAAGAACTGTAACAACTGAAAAGCAATATGAAATATCCTCCCCATTCAAGACTCATTTACTTTCCAGATGAGGCTCCATTTAGGTTTGGGGGGAAAATCGAGAATCCAGATGTGACATTGTTTGGATTGTTTTGCTATGAGATAGAATAGAGTTGCGCCAATTCAGATTTTTGAACAGCTGTCTTGGTTCCCACAGGATCCTAAGGAGCGGCTGGGTTGCCAGGTCCAGACAGGTTTCACAGATATCAAGTCCCACACATTTTTCCGCAGTATAGACTGGGAGCAGGTAAGTGTTACAGAGAGGTTGTGGTCGTCTGTGGATTCAAAATACAAACATAACTTACAATGTGATGAGTCAGAAGGAGTATGTGAAACAAAATTTCATGTTGACATATACTAACAGTATATTACAAAAGGTGAAGAGTACCAGTAAACACAGTGAATACTGTACCTACATTTAAAATAACGGTGGATTTGTGCATTATCCTCAAATGACTATTTTGCTAATATATGGAACATTTCGCACATGGCATTGGATTGAGGTGCTGCCTTAATAGTCTCAGCCACCAAAGAATAAGTTAGGATCCAGACCAAATACGGTAATGTTACTGTTTTAATACATCAACTCCAGACATCCTTGGGATGTGTAATTTAATATTTTCAGCTTGTATGCTAAAAATGGGAAAAAAAATAGTATCCTATTAATTGGTTGTTTGATTGTCAGTTTTGTGTCTTGAAGCAATTAATAGACAATGGAGAACACTAGTGGCTCCAGCCAACCGAGGTGCGTTTTTTTAGCCTCATCTAATTGCGGTGTAAAGAACATTACCTCAGTAAACTTTTCCTTCAACATGTTTCTTGCCAAATGCGAGACGAACCTTTGCATACTTTTTGGTCAGCGGCCACATATGCCTCGTGACTTTCAAAGGGTGACCATTTTTGCTCTGTCTTTGAGGCCTGCAGTTCTTTGGATGTCATTCTGGGTTTGTTTGTGACCGCCTGAATGAGTCATCTTTGCACTCTTGGAGTAATTTAGCTTGACCAACCACGCCTGGGTTTACCACCTGAAGTCTCTTAGCCGTGAAAACTCAATTTCTCAATTGTTCTTGAATGTCTTTGGATTGTGGCATGATATGATTCTTTTTGTGATCTTGTAAGGTTGGTTTGGGTCCGTTACAACAGTTAGACTGACCGGAAAACATTCGGCGACAGGGTTAGGTAGGTGCTGTGCTGCTAATGAACTATTGGGGTATATATATTCCGCAACTATATGATTGAATATATCATTTGCGGGCTGGCACCAAATGGCCAACGAACTTCACATGAAATAATTACTTGCAAATGCCCTCGTTTAATTTTATTGTGCTAAATATATTAACACCACACTTTTGTATTATTAGTATTTTTTTTAATAAAAATGGATGAACCTGAATTGTGTTGCTCATGCAGTGCACAATGTCTGCTCTGATATGCAATTTGTCTAAAATCAAGTATTTGTACTTCAAAAGAACAGTGATTATTTCACTTTCTTCTGGCTCAGCTACAAACTGGTGTACTCGGTATCAGTAAAGTTCTAAAATACATGAAACATAATCATCATGATCTTAAAGAAATGAAACATCCATAAACATTTTAATTAACTTCTTTCCACCCCCAACAACTGCTGTCTTTTCAATTCCAGCAGCTTTCTACTTCTGCCTGGTTGCATCTGAAATGGACTTGATATCGTTATGATTCTTAAACAGCCAGCAGTAGATCACTCAAAATAATAAATGAGTGAATAATTATCATTTTAGCACATCGTCAGACAACGGTTTGCTGTTGTTACCCATTGCTAGCTAACATTGTAGCATATCAGATTCGCTCCAGGCAGATGAACTGATGGTAGTTCTTTGTGCTTACTACCTCCTGACAGTCAGGTGCTGACAGCTGTTCTGGGCTTTGACTTTACAACCTGTCAGATTACTCCAACTAATGTGACAACAACAACAAACAGAATAGATCCTGCACACCCACATTTAATGACAGTTAGCTTTGAAAACAGGACAGAGTTGTCATTACTCTTTCTGATTTGCCTTTGCCAAACATCACAGTAGTTATCTACTTTATACATCTCGAGCTGAGGCAGCACACAATACGCCTTCCTATTTATGGTGCAGTTAGGTGGAGCGTGGACTAAGAAAATACTCTATATTTGCAAAGCTATCCCATTGATACTGTACTTAGAATGTTTTGTTTTTTTTCCTTGTTATCCCATATCCTTTACAGTCGTTGCATACTGTATAGTCAGCATTTGCTGATTTGCGAATTGCCATTTGAAAACTCATCTTGCAGCTGTTTTGTTTGGCTGAACAATGCATCTATTTGCGCCGTCTGTGTATTATTTTGCTTATTCTGTAAGACCCTAAGTTGATGCCCAAACACTTTGCACTTTGCAAATTTTATGACAAACAGCATAACACCACAAGAAAACCATCACACCCCAGGAGAAGGTAAACCTCCTGGATATGTTAAAAAAGAAATCCATGCCATTATGGCATGAATAAAGGTAATAAATAATAGAAGAAAATAAAGAAGAAAGAAAATAGTGATAAAAAAGACTGTTGAAAACAGGTGCACCATAATTTTTGTCTTGTTTGCTACTTTTCATATATATTATCATATATATAATTTTCAAAATGATCTGCAAAAAAAAAAAAAAAAAGTTTTGTCGCCCACCCGGGCAGTATTTTCGGCCAGCTCATGACCTCTACAAAAGGCCTGGGAGCTTGAGGGTTCTGCACAGGAACTTCCGTCCATCCATTTTCTAATCCACTTATCCTCACAAGGGTCGTGGGTGTGCAAGAGAATATCCCAGCTGTCTTCCGGCAATAGGCGGGGTACACCCCGAACTGGTTTCCATCCAATGTAGCACACATAGACGAACAACCATTCTCGCTCACACTCACACCAAGGTACAATTTAGAGTGTACCGTTAACTTGCCATGCATGTTTACCACAGTCTTAAATCACCTTTCGTTTTTACAACACTCAACAAGCGCTTCAGATCTGAGGACACCCCGTCGTTATATTTTGTGGTTCATAATGCGGCATACATTTTCAATAAGGTCTGGACTGCTGGCAGGCCAACCAAGTACTCACACTCTTACTACAAAGCCGCGTTTTTGTCACACGTGCAAAATATGACTTGGCTTTGGCTTGCTGAAATAATCAAGGGCACCCTGTAAAAAGACGTTGCTTGGATGGCAGCATACGTTTCTCCAAAATGCATATGTAAAAGATGTCAGTTAACAGTCTAGATTTGTTTCATTCATTCATAGGCTCTTTGTGCTTCATTGGCTCTTAAGGCAGTCTGTATACAGCTGCATTTATTTTCAGATCCGCATTTAAAGCACCATAATAATATGTCACTTTATAATATTAGCACCGTTGCAGTGTTTCTGTGGTATCTGTCTCCCTATTGGAACTTAAGTCGAAGAGAGTCGGGTAGTAACGCGCTGAGGAAGAAAACAATCACTGTGTTAATGAGTGCTGCCACAGTGGCTGTGAAGTACACACCAAAGGCAAACTGGGGAAGGATATCAAAGCGCGAGAGATTCCTGAGTGCAGCAACCAGCCCCTATGTAGTGCAAAGGGAAAACAAGTTGACAAAGCTTTGAGAGGTGCAGAAGCGACGCTCTCTGCCCTCAAACTAGAAGCCTGTCTCCAGTCCTGACAGGCCTGGCACACTGCTACTGTTGTTACTCTGTATTAATATTCATCAGACAGGTCCCCGGGGTGCGGCTTGACTCTCTGAAGAGATGACACATTTGAATATAATTTACCTGGCTCCGTCTTTCATTCCCTTTCCAAATGCAAGGTTCTTTATTGCCAGACAAGTGTCGAGCTTGATGGGAGCGGTGATGGGATTGATCCTTTGTGGTCAGCGTTGCTGTAAATCACTACGGTTCTTCTTTATCAATGAAACTAGATCGCAATCTATTGCTTTCGATAATGAAGCAGTGAAACTAATGTTCTGGTGTTCCATTTTAAATCTTTTTAACCATCTGGTATCTTTCCCAACTGACTTAGGGCATTTGGCAGACTAGACCAATTGATTCTTCAAAATTCCCTGAATTTCAGTCACAGCATCTGGCTGTATTTTAAAGTGCTGACCATGCAAACTGAGGCCTGCGAGAGAAGTGTATTTTACTTTGATTTGATTTGTACATTGGAGACATTTGGTTTCAGATCAAAAGATGAACATGAGACAAAAATTTAGAATTCCAGCTTTTATTTCATGGCATTTTCATCTGGATGTGTTCAGCTACTCAGGACGGATTACCTTTTGTTTGATGCCACCATATTTTCAAGTCAGCGAAAGGATTGGAAAGGACATTGTTAAATTAACATGAAAGTGAATGACAGTATTTTGTGGCATTACCCTTAGTTGCAATATCTGCATCAAACCTGCGACCCATTAACTTCACCAGACTGTTGTTTTCTTCATTTGAAATGCTTTTGCAGGCCTTGACCACAGCCTCTATCAGTTCTTGTTTGTTTCTCAGGTCTTAATCCATTAAGCCTTCTCTTTAGGAGGTAAAATGCATGCTGTATTGGGTTAAGGTCAGGAGATTGACTTGGCCAGTCAAAGTCTCCCCCCCTCAAGAGCAGGTTTCTTTGGCCTTCTCAGGATTTGCAATATGCTACAAGAGATGACACTATGGTATTCCTCTCAATTCATACTGCTGACCCGATCTTGCGGGTGACGATAGAGTCAATCCGAGATTGTGGTCCCAATGGACATTGTAATGATCATAGTTTCTTTCCTAGTTTCATAAATGTGGCATGTTAATGCCCGCTGTAAAATTTAGTATGCTGTGAGCAGGAACATTTTTGGTTCCACTTTTGAGGTTTTCCTAAAATTAGTCCTCATCAGAATAAGGGCTGGATGATATGTTGTTATCGTATCAATATCTCAATAGGAACATTCAAGAGGTTAGGACCTAACAGGGGTGGGCAAACTTTTTAGCTCGGGGGCCATATTGATTTCTAAATTTGACAGGTGGGCCGGGTCAGCACAAGATATGGTACATATAAAAAAACGTATATGTTGACAATCCATACCAAACATCAACAGAACAAAAGCATTCAAGTATTACCATACTTTTTTTTCATGAGAACAGTGAGATAACTATGGTATATGTCCGGTATGAACGTCCAAGTACGGTATGTTAACAACATACATTGGTGACAACACAAGCAACAAAGTGCAACAATATATTGTCCAAAAACTGCGGCATACAGTACAGGTACAGTATATGAGAAAATATAACAAAGGTAGGACTATTTGCGCCAAAATGAGACGAGTAAAAGACCTGGTGGCTTTCTTTCCACTCACTCACTGTCTCGAACTCGACCTCCCCTCGATCACCACACAAGACAGCGTTGCTCAGCTGATGTCGTGCTTCGAACTTTT